CTCACCGACTCACACCCATCCACACTCTCACCGACTCACACCCACCCTCAATGTCGTCTATTTTCTTAATAAATAGTTTATTAAATGCAGTTACTGATTATTTTTATTGATACGGAAAATCATAAAATGTCATTAGACGGTTATGGAAATCATATCAGTCAAATTGTTGGGCCACCTCACCTGCCTCATCCGATGTAAAACCCAGACGGACTAGCATGTCTCTCACGTGTTGATTGATCCATCTCCATGCATTTTGACCGATCCAATTACAGAAATGATTCCATACTCTTCTGACCACAGCACTGAAACCGCCAGATTGTCTTAAAAAATCAACAGGCACCCTTGCGGAATGAGCCATAATAGCTTCCCATACCATTGTAGCTGACTCTTCTCTCAATGGTCTATAATTTTGTTCGAAACGTCCACCTTTTGCAAAACAAGTTCCCACCATCGCATTAAATGTCATTTCATTTCTACTAAAAGTACTTTCATTGGTTATTACCCACTCTGACATTGGATCTTCATTCTCACAACCAGTTATGACGCAAATAACAGGAATTTGTCCGTTGGTTATTACTTTACAAAACATATCATAATTGTCCTTTTCAGTTTGTGTAATGGTTCCGATCCGCATGACATATATAAGCAAATTGACACCGCTTTTACAGTTGTTCAATAATTTGATAATATTTTGTAGTGCATCCTTACTTTTCACTGTTCCTTTGTCCGTTTCATTAAGTCCAGCAGTATCGAAAAACTGATACTGAAGTTCCCCTTTTTCGACTAGTGGAATCTTTACTGTTTGGAAAGTGCATCCAACGGCAGAATTGTTAACTGGGTAATTTTGATTAGTGAGCATATTAATCATACTCGTCTTTCCGGCATTTGATGAGCCAAATACAATTACTTTTCGAGGATTCATCTAAAAAATAGAGAGAATTTGAGATAAAATAAAAGCAATGATTTGTCCTGTACTGGATTAACCTTGTATACTGATCGAATGTGAGACTAACAGTTTGAATATTTTATAAGAATAGGTTAGGAGTAACTAATTGTTGAGATAATAAATGCAAAATCTAGTCGCACACCGCGCTAACATTGGTGGAAAAAGTAAGTGTTCCAGAAGAATCTGTGAATATCGTAACTTATACAAGTTGTTGGAAAATACCATCAATTTTTCAGTACACCCTACCTACTTATCAAGAATGCCCCACAAAATCTATATCTACTACGAGATACTTAACCAATATTATGAGAAACCAAAATCAATATGTTGTCATCTAATAAATGATACCACGCAGAAGATAAAACTACCACTAAGAAATACTTTCTTTGTACTGATCAAACTTGGAACCGGACTGGCCTGGTCTAACTTTTCAGACCGGTCGACTTTTTATCGGTGCTTTTTTCATTTTGAAAAATTTGCTAACTAAAGGGTGTGGGGTGGGTGGTTGTGGGTATAGGAGTTTATCCTCGCTTAACCCACACCCATACCCACCCTCAAAATGGAAATGCTCCGTGTGTGTCTTCCTGCCCTTTCCCTAGCCGATGATGCAGATTATGCCCCATATGGCTACTAGATCTCCAAAGAGCAGATTTGATTTTAAGAAATTAACTCCATGTCAGAAAACACATGTAGTTTACTGAAAATCGCTATAACGCATCATCTGACAGTCTTGAGATCAAATTTTTGTAAAAATAACGTGATGAATCGTACTGATATAGATTTAATCTGGCAAATTTATTTTTAAGAGCTATTCAGATATATAGTAATTAGATAAGCAGCTATCTATATTTCTTCGCACAGGAAGTATCGCGAATTACGAGTTGTGTTACAGTTAACACTGTTACATGAAAGCTTCTAACTTAATGTCACCTAATAGTTTGATATGTCATTTCAATGCATTAAAAGCTCAATAAAGTTTCTTCTCAGTACTAAAACGCATTTGATTACTTACTACTAAACAATGGTTTTTGAACGAAATAATATATTGTTGAAGTAACTGAAAGATGATATGTCGAGTATGTCTTTGAATACTGAGTAGTATGCCCTGTGTTTTTTCATAAAGATTCAGCTCCCTATTTATATTTTTTGATTTGCTGATAAATGAAATATTTATTGCATACTATAAGAAAAAACCCAGTCAGAGATCATAATACAAAAGCGAACATGAAACACAACGAAAACAGACAAAGTGTATAGATAGAAAGGACAAAGTATGTCATATAATACAAGTAAAAAACTTTTAAAGCACGTCAATAAAGAAAAATTCTTTTATTGACGTCAATTTGAAGGTTTTTTCCTGTGATATACTTTATCTCTTCTTCCTACCCCCTTTTATTGGTTTTTTTCTCTTGGTAAGTAATAAATATTTAACTTATCTGCTCACAGATACATATAAATAGAGCTCCGAGTCTTTATGAAAAAAAGGCAATAATAGCTAGTATCTGAAGATATATTCGATAGACCACCCATGAGTTACTTGAACAATATATTGTTTCATTTCGAGAATTATTGTCTAATGATAAGCAATCCAGTACAATTTTAAAACGAATTACTCTCGTTTCCACGTAAGCTAATATAGTTTAAAATGAGTGCATGTTCTGGTTGCTTGTCGAGTTGAAATGATTAAAAGAATAAACAACTGTCTTCGTTTTACCTCGGCTCCCTCGTAACATGATAAAAAATGTTACGACTTCAGTTCAAGCTTAATTGGTTTTCACGAAATTATACACTTATCACTTCAGACTTGACTAAAAGAATGAGTATTTTCTTTCAAAGATTATTTCTGTTTGAACAATAAATAAAACACATGTATAGCCCGATTTTGTATTTCTATTATAGATGACGGAAAAACGTATATTGGTTTTTGGATCACCGAATGCTGGAAAGACAAGTATGTTGAATGAATTGATTGGTATTGATTCTGCTGTTAATTCCTCAGAAGACGGTTTGGTTTTTAAAATAAAACATTACCAATCGGTTATAAAAGATCGTGTTAAATATTGTTTTGTTGATATTGATGGACTTAGTAAAACTAATCTAGACGAATTAACATTCGCAAAGGCAACTGAAAATATTAGTAATCTGTTACAACATTCAAAACAAGGCTTTAACTTGCTCGTATTCGTTACGAGAGCCGGAACTATTCATCAATCTGCGAAAGATGAATATGTCATGTTTGCTGATCAAATTACAAAGAAGAAGATTCCTATACTTTGTGTAGTGACAAACTGTGAAAACTATGAACCACTGTCACAATGGGTAACTGAGAATGAAAATACTTTTAAGGAAAATCAAATGACTTTCGATAAAATGGTTGGAACATGTTTTAAAAAAGGTGGTCGTTTCGAAGAAATGCTGAAATTATTACGAAAAGAATCAGCTGAGACCGTATGGAATGCCATCTTGGACATATCGACGGAGCAGCCAATCGATGTCGTTACTTCCATTAAAAGTCCTACAATGTTTGCTTCAGATATATGGAACAACTTCTCTGCATGGATTGGTAAAAACATATGGTCGGACCCTATACCAGACAGTATTTCATTGTCAAGTTCAAAGAAAAGTTACTGATAGAACACTTAGTTAAATAAACCTATGACTCCTCAGATGTTTCGATTTACTTTATCCTTTCCACTCCTTTTCAGAATAGAAGTCAGTAAACTGAGAAAGATGTGGGTGATGGTGAGAATAGCTATCAGGATCTTGATGCACCACAACTACGTGGATCATCAGATGGCAAACAAGAGTGCGAGTGTATGGGTGCGGGTGTGGTACAGTAGCAACTTTCGTATGCCAGACGGACATCTAGTTTTCCTCCTTAAAAAAATGGATTCCTTTATCTCAGAAATGGTCATATATCACTTAGAATATCATCTTAAATGAAATCAATCATGTTCGAAAAAACAACTGAGGGTGTGGGTGTGATTATTGTTTATATGTGTTACCCACACCCCTATTTTTATACTGCTCCAAAGACTCCCCTTTGACGGTATTCGCTTCTGACACGAATAATGGATTCATAATTCTAATAGGGTTACTTTGCCATTAGAAAGTGGTAACTTGCCAAAGTAGAAAAGTTTTCCTTCCGCGCCACTCCACAAGATCATGCATAGAAAAGGCAACGGCAAATCAAGTTTGTATTTGTGGCAGTAAAGAACTACTCTCTTCCTTCTATCGTCCGATTATTTTACATCGTAGACACATAGTCCTAATCCTGTACCCTTCGCGTGGTTCTTGAATATGTATTTAAGTCAATCACTGTAATATCTTCTTTTCAATTCTTCTTTTTTATTGTTTCCATTTATCTTATCTGGTGGATGTGTTGTAACACAAACGATGAAAACAAATTTGTTAATCCTTTCGAGAATGATGAAAGAAGGTATATTGCATGGAGAATCGTGGCATAATCATCAGATGCATTAAAACTTAAGTTACTTTCTAATGATAGTTTAGTTTTTTCATGATTATAAATTGAATGCATTCGAGCATATTTCTCATCCAACGCTTTTATTAATATAATTTTGCTCGAAATATTTTTTTCTGATATTAATTGTTAGCGTGTTTATAGAGTATTTAATGCATACAAAATCTTTATTAGATTTAATATATACACGTAATGAACTTACTGGCAAGTGAATTTATTTGAAATCAGAACACAATTATAATCACCATCCATTCATAGAATCAATGAGTAATACAACATCGTCGCCATCTAATCAATATGATTTAGTTCAGGCAGCTGAGCAACCTATTGTTTACGGTTTTTCTGTCACAATGACATTTATAGTAATCACAAGTATATTAAATGTTAGTGTGCTCTGTCGTCGAGCTCTTCGATCATCTTCGTGCACTCATTATTTTCTTGCGTCTGTTCCACCTGTTTTAGCATACGTGGTTGTTTCACCTGTAAATGCAATACTTTCACAAAGTTATGGATTCTATATCAATGGTACACCTGTTGCATGCAAAATAGTTTCATTTCTAGCCTATGCAACATCATTATGGTATGGATTAATGCTAGTGTGTGCTTCAATTGATCGATATTTTTCAAGTTCGACATCAGTTCGTTTACGTCGTTTGAGTCAAGTTCGTGTTGCACGAAGAATCATTATTATTGTATGGATCTTATCATCGATATATATGAGTCCATTTCTATTTATATATTATTATGATCCTACATATGCCAGCAGTAAAAAGTGCACACAATATTCGACAAAATTGATAGATGTTTATCTGATGACTCGAGTTATTTTTTATTATTTTTTGATACCAATTATTTTAGGCATATTTGGTATATTAACAATCTATAATATTCGAAGTCAAAAACATCGTATAGCACCCATGAATCAAACAAGTCTCTCTCGTCGTACAGAAGGTCAATTGGCTCGTATGTTAATCATTCAGGTAGCTATGTATCTTCTCTTCTTTACACCATCTGGTATAACATATATATTAATAACATTTGTGCCATCAATGAATACTCCGTATTATCAAACAATTCGAAATATAACAATTGTTTGGCAACAAGGTGGTTATTTCATTTCATTTTTTCTTTATGTTCTTACAGGAAAAATCTATCGCGAAGAACTGAAGAATATGTTTAAATGTAATCGAATATTGCAACAAACTGCAGAGCATATTCCGATGAGTTTATTAGCAAATGTTCGAGTTAACACACGTATCTGAATTTATGACAATCCAAGTTTGAACTGACAGTGCATATAATTATTGTTCTTCTGACCCTTTATTCTTTTATTTATAAATGTTGTCCGTTCGTGTAGAATAAATAATTTAAATGTAATCCTGTGGAATGAATAGTGGCAAAAAATGATTATTATAATTATATGAAATAAAACTCAGTCAAACGCTAAAGCTAAAACATGCATGTCTTAGTGAAAAACCATAAGATAATCGTATTTTATTTTCTAATAAAAACAAAACATAACATGAATTTTAATAAATCAAACGAGAAGTTAATCATAATATCGGTCTATCCAAATAGATAATTTCATTAAATTAGAACGAAGATCTTTGATACGAATCCTATAGTTACATTCTCGAAATACTTCTTCAACTAAACCATAAAAAAGGTTTCGATCAGAAATACGTCGTAGATAAACATGAATAGTAGATAATTTTGATAATCGTTTTAAGAGAAAAATAATATAATTCGGTGCTTTAATTGAACATCGGAGTTGTTGAATGTTGGAGAATACTTCACAAAATGTGGCTACTTGGTTCGAATCCTCAAATAAATAATAACCATGTTTATGTATATTCAATTTTTTAATAACTTTATTCATAGATAAACATAATTCTTTATCACTAAATAACAATTTTAAATTAATTGGATCGATTGTTATTGATGATAATTGTGATGCTTCTCTTAATATTTCGGCTAATTCTTCTGATAAACTACCTTTTTGATATAATGAAATATCCAAATGTTTGATATTTGATAGATTAACAATTGATTTTAAAGATTGAAGATATTTTGTTTCTTTTTTTTGTTGTATTTTTAATGAAATGATATTTGGGAAATAAATTGAAGAATAATCTTTTGTTTCATTATAACTAAATGTTAAATTCTCTACTTGTTTAAAGATATTTGATATATTAATTGATCGATAATTTGATCTTTTTGTATTTTCTTCTAACTCAAATGATTTTGATATGTATGGTACGGTATAAATGCAGTGTGAAGTATTATTTGTTAATAATTCTGTATACCAATGGTGTTGGTCAAGCCAAAAACTATTTTGAAATCGATTATAATTATATGAAACCACATCACGACATAGATGAGAGCAAGTCAATCTGAATTTGAAAGTATTCAAATTAAATAAAGAAGAATTTATTAAGTTTTCCCATTCATTTGGATTAATGAATTTTTGATCATTAATCGTATTTGCAAAAGTTAAACTTCGTAAATTTGGTGTTTGTTTAACAAAATCCGCAAAATCATCGAATGGATATCGAAATTGACCAATTATTAATTGTTTTAAATGAATAGCTCGATGATTTGTATCATTTTTTATTGATTGTTTATCTCTTATAATAGTTTTAATGTTCAAATATTTTAACATAGGAATAATTTCTAATAATTGATATCTTATTTGTTCCAATGAACATTTTGAAATGATTAAATGTGTAATTATTGTTGGTTGTTGTACGTATATTAAAAAAGATTCTAATGTTTTAATTGATAATTTTTGTAAATGACCTAATGGCAATACAGATATTATCGGTTCGTCATCAATTTGTGAAGAATTTAAATGGAATGAATGTAATGAAGTACATAATGGTAAAATTGATTTTAATTGAGAAAGATTTTCTTCTTCGAGATAGGTTAATGCTAATGACTGAAGATGAGAATAATCATCAAGTAAATACAATGAGAAAAATGTATTAATTTGACCACATGCATCTTTATTTGATAAATGTAATGAAGATATATTTTGTTTAATTTCGGGTAAGATTTCAGAACAAAATCGAGAGAATTTTGTTTTATGAATATGTTGAAGATTTAGATATATTGGGGTATTTCGAATAAGATGAGAAAAACGAGAATTTAATGTATCAAATGAATAAAATATTTCAAATGTATTGAGATATACTAAGCATTCAATTAATATTTCGTTTGGTAATAGTTGTAGTATCATGATACTAGTAGAGTGACTAATCGAGTAAAAATGTGGGTATATATGTGTATGAAAAGAGGACACTATCGATATATATCTCATATGAGGAGAACAACGAAAAAATTCATTTAATATTGACATGCTTCTCTACCAATAACTTTTCTTGCTTGTCCTCTCTTTATGATATATAGGATGTGGACGTGGTTAAGCGCGCTCTGTTTTATTCTACCCACACCTAGAGGTGAGATTTTATTGTTATTGTTATTTATAACAATAACTTTTACTTTTTGAAAATATCTTTTCTCACCTCATTGTATATTTTAATTATGTCCGTTATATAAATTTACATTTGGAACGAATTTTCTGTATCTATAGTATTAATTTATATGGTTCAGCTAAGATATGGAGCTAGCTGAATTTTCAGAGAAAAAAGTTATTTGTTATTTATCTGCCCCTAGTCGAACTTTTTTTTGCACGCACATCAGATTCTTGACTTTCGTAAACAAGAATGTCATGCGCTATGGACATATCTAGAAATCTTTCTTGGCATGTGGGTAAAAAGAAAAAATTCATGTAAAAAAAGCATCCAAACCGAATATTTTTTTTCTTTTATAAATGAGTACTATTTGAAGAAAAAACATATATAACACAACATAATTGTTTCGTAGTTGAGAGAGGTATATTTCACTTGATAAACCGATATCATTTTGTAAAAATCTCCGTGACATACATGAGTACTTTCTCTTATATGATTTTGAAATTCTCATTATTCTACAGATTTAATCAAAGTGCTGTGAAGAGTCTATCATCTCGTGTTTTAATAAATGAATAAATTAATTACCTTACTCATGAATTACTTATATTTCTGAAAAACAAAAAAAAAATGTGTTGCTAAACTTAATAGTGAAAATACGTTTACTGATTCATTTCGTTTTCAAACTAATGATTTTGGACAGTTACAGAAGAGAATTAATACTAATAACAGAAATATTGTTATCTAGTTTAGAACTTAAAAGAAGATGAGTTGATTATTGTCATTCAATGAATTTATTCTGAGTCACTACTTTGTCTGAAAAGTTCTTTTATACAATTTAACATCTTGATTGATAGGTCAATTTCAAATCAATGAGGATCAGGATTATATAGCTCAGAATTATTTATTTGAATATAGCTACATAACCTGTATAGACAATCACAATAAAGTTATTCGTGTCGAATTTTTCTACTTTCATCATTCGAAACACAGCTTTAACTTCTTCGCTAAGTAATGAAAGATTAAAATTTCCTGTATCTGGATCTTCAACATCTATCTGTTTTAAATCGAACCAAACTTCTAACAGATTTAGTAAAAAGTTGAAAGCTTTAACTTCAAATGCATTGATAATTTTTCGATCTCAACCGAATTGAACTAACATACAATATCTTTGAATTTCTTGCAAATTTTTATACCAACAAAGGAACCATTAGATTATTAAATGCTGATTTTAACTGAAATCGATCTGTTGATAAATCGTTGCGGCAAAGAAATATATGTTTACAAAAGAGATATGATCTAACCAAAGGTAAAAGATCATAAATAAATAAATATTATATACATACATACAATATATATTCTCCTGCTCAAGTAAATCTTATATATAATTTCACAAACTATTTAATCATATTATTAACTTCATTATTTTTGTGATGAAATAAATATGTGCAATTGTAATTAACACCCATTGGAAGTACTCATTTATAACTTTCTATTCAAGAACATTCAGCACCTCCTCATATTTCTTTTTTCAATACTTTATAATGAACCTATACCGTCATATTTACTGGTGATTAATTGAAAAACTTGTTAGTGTATTCACGCGAACTATTTTCTTACAACCATAAAAATAAAATTCAATTATTCAAGCTGTATAACACTCTACAGATTTAGAGCCCATAAAAAACACATTCAGAAATGTACTCTTTCGTTCTTATATATTCACACATTAAAAATATATGGCAAATATAATGACATTATATTTACAGAAGAAAATATAAACGACTTCATTAGCAATATTTTTGCATAAACATGATGTGTCTCTTATTTTTCACGTAATTCCACTTCACGTACGATTTGTGTAACCCACGCAGGAACAATTGGTGTTCGATAAGCAATATATGTTCCACGATTTGTATTACAAATAATATAATCACCATTTTGACTATTTTTCAATGTTATTGGACGAATACGTTCAATAATTCCATCAGTTGTAAATGTCATTAACGGTTTTCTATTTATTTCTTTTGTTTGAATTACATCCGGAGTACGATATGATATATTTTTTGATTGAATCGGTGTAGGTGGTTCAATTAATGTTGTTCTCGATGAATGAATATCGCTTGTTGATGAATAATCATAATCAAGACTAATACCAGAATCATCATCTGTATATGATTCATAATAAGTATTTGAATTTGGTTGTGTCATTCTAGAGCGTTGCATATTGTTTATGATATTAAAATCGATATTAATCTTCTCTCTTTTATATTATAAAAATGATTCATTGTATAAGTAGACGAGAAAAAAAAAGAATTACAAATAATACTAGTATTATTGACGAAGAAAGAAAAGGGCACATGACGGCTTGCTAAAGAACATTATTTCTTTTATTTAACTGAAAAAAATAACAATCAAAGAATGCTTATTTTGACTTGAATATAAAATTTATTGTAGAGAAATGTAATACTATCAATCGTTTGCATAGATCATATAGAAAAGAAATTTGATATTTGTTTTCGTATTTGTCATTGATTATTTGCATCTGTCAAAAAAAACATATTATATATTTTTTTTATCATTGCATATATAAAAGTACATTTGTTTACCAAAAATAAATGTTTCTTTAAATTATTTAGACTACGAAAGAAAAAATAAGTTATTGTACTGCTTTTAATTTTTAATAAATAAATTGTTAGTCGACTTCGTCATTAAATATTCTGAATACATTCATAAAAAAGAAAAACGCTGACATTGAAATTATTTCCGTTCATTTTTAACAAAAATCTTTAGGCACTTTATTACAATAATATATATTATGATTATAATCCAGTTTAAATATATGTCATGCTTCGCATATAATATCAATTTAAAAATGTTTTATTTTACTTTCTGGACATTATTTAAATAATAAATTAAATTCTATAACCTAAAATAGATTGAACTAAGTTCGTTAGAACTAATATACATGACAAGTAAAGTACTTATTTTGAAGTAACTACTCGTAGTTTTTCATGTATTATTAATCCATTCTTTTCTTTTCTTTTCTTTTTGTTTCCATCTATTCATCATTACTGACATCTAAGAGAAAAAACACACACACACACATACTTCCTGGACATTTTCTAATGATTATATAGTAAAACTAATACAAAATTATTTTCTAAACAAAATATCATTGTGAATACTAATCAAGAAGATGTTAATATAAATTCAAGATCGAGTTGTTATAGTATAGAATAGATTTCACGCTTTTCTCTTGAGAATATGAAAGACACTCAATGAATGCAAATCATTCATTTTCTTGCTAATAACATATTCGGTCAAATGAATAAGCAATAAGATTTTCTATATGAATGCGTCAATCGAGTATTTTCGCAAAAAAAAAGGTCTTATATATTAATTAAAGAATAAATTTTAAATTTAATTAACATGTTTCTTTAAATATAATCAAATCATAACAAAATTTATATTGAGAATAATTTTTTTATTTATTTATATTTAGTATGCAAACGAACTAACAAAAAAAAGAAAATATAGCATCACGTAACGATGATTGATATTGTTTTTTATTTAAATATGACAAGGCGCAAATATAAAAGAAAATATCAATGTCAAACATGATTTGAATTCGTATTCGTTGACATAAATATTGTTTCTTGTTGTGGATTTAATTGTATAGATGTATCATCGAGAGGAGATAAAAGACAAGGTTCTTGACTGCTCAATTTTTTCATTGGTAAACCATTTATTTTTCCATTCGATTGTGAATTTTTTACATGAGAAAATGTTTGAGTATATGTTGCTATAGTTGATTCAGCTGGTATTTGATATGTTGATGGACGTTCAAAAAATTCTCCATCGACAACATTTGTTAATTGTGTTGATGGATGATTTACACGACGACGATTAAAACACCAACATACTTTAAATAAACATGGTATGATTTGTTGAAATTCTTTACGAAAATTATCGTTTAACCATGAATATAAAAATGGATTATAAATTGTTGATGACATAGCAATAACATGTGTACTTAAAAATAAAACTTTATAATGAATTAATGCTGAACGATGAAATTCTGCAACCATATGAACAATATTTAATGGTAACCAACAGATAGCAAATATAACAACCATAGCAATAAGCATACGATTTGTACGTTTTTTACGACATATTTCAACTTCTTCACGTACACGAGTACGACCTGGTAATGAACGACGTGCAAGTGCAACCCATACTTTATAATAACTAAATGATATAACCGAAAATGGAATTAAATATTGTAATATTAATGATGAAAAATTAAAAAAACGTCGAGATGTATATTGTGGCCAATATTCCTATTGAAGAAAAAATAATACAAAATTTTTTTTTTTGCTTCATTTCTTTATTTACTTCGCATTTGACGCTATCGAATCGCATGTATATTGCTAATGGTAATGATATAGATATACCAACAACCCATATAACAATTATTAATAATATACATACACCTAAACGCATCCGTGAACGAAATGGATGCACAATAACAAAATAACGATCAACTGCTATAGCCAATGATGTCAATGTTGATACATAGACTATGAAAAGCATAAAGAATTGAAATTATAACAAAAAAAGAAATTTAAGTATTACCTGAAATACCCAATGACATTGGTACTAAATGACACAATACTCTCCCAAGATGCCAAGTATTACCATAGGCTGATATAGGTGTAAATGGTACTGCCAGACAACACATCTAATATGAAGTAGAATAATCAATTTTTGTTTTTCTTAATTATTTACTTTTAAATACTTACAAGAATATCTGAAAGTGCTAAATTAGTAATGAAGACATTTGTGACTGTCTGCATGGCTTTATTTCTACAAACAACAACTAAATTAAAAAACATATATAAAGGAAGTTATTGAACTTGAAAGTAAAAATGTCTACTTACGAACAACAAGGGCATTGCCACTAATACCAAAGAAAAATATCAATACATAAAGTGAAATAAATGTTGCCATAATTGGTGGCCTATTTTCAAGTGGAATGGGTCCTGTTGTTGTTGTCATTGGTATCACTGGAGGTCTAGTCATCATAAAAGCAGCATAATGTGACATATTTAGTGGAGTATAACTACTATGATTAAATGCAG